CTTCGACAGAAGTTGAGTTCCGCTGTTGGAAAAATTTTATAGCCTGTTAGAGATCAGAATAAACATTCACATTTTGATGAAGATGGGCTCCTATAAGTTTCCAACCTGAATCAAGAAACCATGAACAAAAGGCAGAATGTATAAACCTATAACTGGGTCAAAGGTGCCGCTTGGAAGAATCTCCAAATTTTGTCTTACAGGATGACTTTGTTCAAGAAGCAGGAAAGATCTGGAGTTTGAAGAATCAAAAATTGAGAGGACGGTAGAGAATTAATATTAATTCTGAATATACGTGCTCTGACATTCTGACAGAGTTTATTTTTTGCATTTGATGTACTGTGTCATTACCTTGATATAGTAAACCTTCCTGAGAAAGATTGGCTGATCACAACCAAAGATGACGGCAAAGGGAAATTAATTAATTAATTAATTAATTAATTAATTATTGCAATTTATATGCCGCCTTTCTCCCTGAGGACTCAAGGCGGCTTACAAAATGACAATTTCCAATGCAAATCACAATGAAATAAAAATTAAAATCAGCAACCCTATTAAAACAATTTAAAATTATAACAGTGTACCCCCAAACGGTAGAAATCACCTCACTCAGGACAATTAACCTAACTCTGTTGTATATTTGGCTATGTTGATATTTGTTTTGACAAATCTATAGATAAGAGATGGGACACGGGATGAAGAGATAAATATTTGTAACTTTAGAGAGGATAAAGAGTTACCAAATAGTGATCAAAGTGGAAAGACACTTCTTTATATATATTTACTTTTTTCTTTCTTTTTTTCTTTCATTTTTACTCCTTCCATTTTCCTTTTTTTTTCTTTCAATTTAGCTTACATTAGATTTTACTCTTCTAATCTGAAGGCAGCACACAGCCATTCGTAAAACTGTGCTCGTGTAAAGTTATATAAAGCTACAATTACAAAAGACAGTGCTGGCTTCAGAAGGATGGGGAAAAAAAGTAAGGAACATTGCCAGTGTTGTGATCTAGGCTTCCTGCATCATTAAAACACATGAGTAGTCCCAAAAACCACTTTTATTGCAACAGCTGTGAATTATGTTCATTCACAGCTGAGTCCCAATTAGTTGCAAAAAGTCCTTTGGGAGAAGTCCTTGGGGATAATCACCAACCTTTATCTCCCTTGACACTCTGCCAAAGACCTACTTGGCAAAGCCACACAAAGTCCAAAATCAAACAGAGATGCCGACTGGGAACAGAATTAAAAATGTTGCTTTCCTATAAAGGGCCCACGTGCCTTTGCTGCTCTTTTAAGGGAGGGGCCAATCATCTCCAGGCCTTACTCCCGAGTCGTCCCTTTTGCTTTAGCTGCTCTTGCCTTCTAGCATCTCTGCGCATGCGTGCATTGGGAACAGGCTCCTCCTGTTCCTCTGCCTCTGCTGTCCGACTCTGGGGGCTCCGGAGTCTGCGCATAACTCCCAGATGGCCCTGACCCCTTCTCTGCCTCCAATGCAGAGCCCTCGTCTGAGCCTTCGCCAGACTCCAGGACTGGTCCATGTTCCTCCCCAGCCTCCTCACTACCAATCAGGTATGTTTGGTACTAAGGAGACAGCTGGTATAGCTCTGCTACCAAGGAGAGACATATCTAGTTTTATTCATGACTAACGTTCATTTATCATTTCCGAGACCACAACATTTGAAAATTCTGAGTGTTTCATACATTCATCTTAATCCCAAATACTCTTGCCTTGCAAACCATCACTACACAAAGCCTGTAATCCTGTACCACAATATTAACAATGTTACAAAGTCAATTGCAAATAGCAATTCCACTAGACTAATATGTAAATTACATTTTATAAAGAACAGCTAATGAGGTGACTGCCAAAGCCCCACGACATTCAGAAACAAGAGATGCCGACTGGAAACAGATTTAGCAACGTTACTTTCCTACAAAGAGCCCACGTGCCTTTGCTGCTCTTTTAAGCCTTATGGGAGGGCCCAATCATCTCCTGGCCTTACTCCCAAGTTGTCCCTTTTGCTTTAGCTGCTCTTGCCTTCTGGTAGCTCTGCGCATGTGCGCACTAGGAACAAGCTGCTCCTGTTCCTCTGCCTCTCTGCTGTCCGACTCTGGAGGTTCCAGAGTCTGCGCATCACTCCCAGATGGCCCTGGCCACATCTCTGCCTCCGACGCAGAGCCCTCGTCTGGGCCTTCCCCAGACTCCAGGACTGGCCCATGGTCCTCCCCTGCCTCCTCATTGTCCAATTCTGCTGCCAGCTCCTCAGGCTGCTGGTGGACCACAACAGCATGCAAAAAATCACATCTATATTTATGGATTTTGTTCTTGTCCTGAAGGGTAAAACATCTTTGTTTTCTTTTTCCAGGACACAAACACGTGTAACTTCAATAAGAATACAATTTTTACATTTCAAGTGAAAATTTAACTAAGGTTTAGGCGGATAACCATTTTCTAGGCAATGTAGTATTAGTTTTCAATCATGGCTCTATATTTAATAAAACATTCATTTAATAAAATATTAAGTTCTGAATTCTGGGTATTACAATCAGTTGGGGGAATTGGGAATTGGAGGGAAAAGGAAAGAACAAGAGATACAGGGATTTCTTCAAATATGTCACATAATCTTCGTTATCGAACATCTTCATCTCCAAAGAGGAAAGGAACAAGGTTATACGCATATAATATTCTAGTAATATACATTTAATCCAAAATAAATTCTCCTGGTAGCATATTGGCAGATAGGTGTTATATGCACATGCCAAATCTCACCTAAGAGATTTTTATTTTCCTTACAGATGCATAAATCTCAGCTTTTTAGAGGGCTGGCTTACTATACATATTTAATTATGAAGTATAGTCTACATCTAGGGATGTGGTGGCTCAGTGGCTAAGACGCTGAGCTTGTTGATCGAAAGATCGGCACTTCAGCGGTTCGAATCCCTAGTGCTACGTAATGGGGTGAGCTCCCGTTACTTCTCCCAGCTTCTGCCAACCTAGCAGTTCGAAAGCACATAAGAAATGCAAGTAGAAAAATAGGGACCACCTTTGGTGGGAAGGTAACAGTGTTCCGTGCGCCTTTGGCGTTTAGTCATGCCGGTCACATGACCACGCAGACGTCTTCGGACAGCGCTGGCTCTTCGGCTTTGAAACAGAGATGAGCACCACCCCCTAGAGTCGGGAACGACTATCACATATGTGCGAGGGGGACCTTTACCTTTACCTTAGTCTACATCTAACTTAGAACTTTTCTTGTTCTTGTTTTTATTTCTCCATACTTCAGATCACATAACAGATTTTTTAAAAAAATCATGAATGCTTTCTATAGCTACAGAAATTTGCACCTATTTAGAATTGTTTCGGATTCAAGAGTTTGGAGAAAAGAAATTCACATGCTAAGCCTTCATGACTGAAGTAACATGGAGAGTGATCATGTATAATAAAATGTGCGTAGAGAATAACTGAAATGTATTATGGACACGTATACATGTGCATTGTACTTTGGAGCGGCTGGTGTACAATCCACAAAGTTAAAAGATTAGCTTAAATTTATCTCAAAGCTTATTTAAGCAATGCATTCAAAGCAATGCTATTTTAAACAGCTTTATCTGCTCAGCAGATTGAATGTGATAGCAGAGTTAGGTCAGTGTTATATTAGACTAGAGAGCAATCTGGATGTGCCAGATCTAAGTCAACCAAAATTAAAATGCACAAAACCACTTTTTTTTTTTTTAATTTGATTTATATGCTGCCCTTCTCCGGAGACTCAGGGCGGCTTACAATGCGCTAAGCAATAGCCTTCATTCTTTTGTATATTTATACAAAGTCAGCTTATTGCCCCCACAACTGGGTCCTCAATTTACCTACCTTAGAAAGGATGGAAGGCTGAGTCAACCTTGAGCCTTGGCGAGATTCGAACCTGCAGTAATTGCAGGCAGCTGGTCTTAATAACCAGCTTAATAACAGGGTGCCTTAGACCACTGTACTACCAAGGCTCTTAAATGTGATCCTGCTACAAACAGCTTATTTAATTTTATCCCTTTCACAAAAAGACTTGTGACAACCTTCCTTCACTGCTTTCTTCACATGTGTACCTCTGGAATTTAAAACGAGGCGAAAGGTACCAAATTAGATGCTTTTAAGATTAAACCCAAGCACAGAAGATAAAGTTAAGCGTCATGAGCATTACACTTCTGAAATATCTAGAATAAATAATGTGGAATTGCCAGCTGATGTCAAATTATTACTCCATTCCAAATTTACATGATGGATTTATGACCATTTATGGAATGGCAATTCGAAGTTATGACAGAGCTGAAAAATACTCGCACCTGTGACCGCCACGGTGTCCCTGTAGCCACATGATCAAAATTTGAGCACTTGTCAACGGGCATGTATTTATTATTTGCATCGTCCTGGAGTCATGTGTTCACCATTGCTGACCTTCCTTTACTATAGCACATCAATTCAGTATAGGTAAAGGTTCCCCTTGCACATATGTGCTAGTCGTTACCAACTCTAGGGGTCGGTGCTCATTTCCGTTTCAAAGCCGAAGAGCCAGCGCTGTCCGAAGACGTCTCTGTGGTCATATGGCCGGCATGACTAAATGCCAAAGGCGCACGGAACGCTGTTACCTTCCCACCAAAGGTGGTCCCTATTTTTCTACTTGCATTTTTTACGTGCTTACGAACTGCAATGTTGGCAGAAGCTGGGACAAGTAACGGGAGCTCGCCCCGTTATGCGGCACTAGGGATTCGAACCGCTGAAGTGCCGACCTTTCGATCGACAAGTTCAGTGTCTTAACCACTGAGCCACCGCGTCTCTTTAATTCAGTATACTGTTCTTCAAATGATCAGAAAAAGCCTTCCAATAAGTCAATGGGAGAAGCTAGATTAGCGTAACATCCACATAATTCACTTAACAACCATGGCAAAAACAAAATGAAATGAAACACCCCACCTTGTGTTCCTACCTGCAGGAAGTTCCTATAGCAGCCTTTTTTACGTACCTGCACAAGGCTTCAATGGCATCTCTGTCCAGAAAATCATGTTCCCTCTTCACGGCAGTGATGTCAATGGGAAAGATAAGATCTGCAAAGATCAAGATGGATGAGCAATCAGAAAAAAATGTTCTCCTCATAGATAACTTCTTTCAAAGAAACCATCTCTCTCCAAGATGCAAGTAACCAACTGTGACAATAAACATTTCTACCCTCTTGGGTGAAACGTGCAGAAGCTTTAAGGGGGAAATGAACAATCTCCATGCGTTAAAGGAAGGAAAAGCCAGCGGGGAAGGGAAGGTATATTGTAGGAAGCCAAAGGCAAAATAGCGTGAGCTGTGAGAAACCAAGCTGGACCTTAAAACAAATATTAACATTATGAAGAAACCTTCCTGGGATCTGTATGTACTGGAGGTGGGCGGCACATGAATTAACAACCGGTTCGCCCCAGCACTGAAAATGTAAGCGCTTGAGCGCCTTCCGTGTATGTGTGAGGCCTTCTGCGCATGTGCTTTGCCCGTGCGCGTGCTTGCATGCGGCTTAAAAACTATGCTAAATAGGACGGCATAGCGCCGGGGCAGGTGGACGGGCCCACCCGCAGGTCACAACTACCGGTTCGCCCAAACCGTCTCGAACCGGTTGAATCCCATCCCTGGTATGTACACCGTTTAGGTAGCGGATTTGCAGTTCCAGCAACACCGAAAAGCAACAAAGCACGAATTTTAAAAAACAAGGCAAGAAACAAATGAATATGTTAAATACAGTTGTCCTCGACTTATGAACACAATTGAGCCAAGAATTTGTGCAGCTAAGTGAGAAATTTGTTGAGTTGTGCCCCATTTGGCATCTTTTCTCGCCATGTTTGTTAGGTGAATCTCAGCCGTTGTTAAATTAGTAACACGGTTGTTAAGTAACTCTGCTTCCCCCACTGACGTTGCTTGTCAGAAGGTCGCCAAAGATAATCACATGACCCTGGGGCACTGCAACCGTCATAACTATGAACCAGTTGTCGAGCTGTAAACCATGGGGATGCTGCACCAAGGAGCCTTGGTGGACCAGCGGACTAAAGCACTGTTAAATAGCACTTAGCTGCCAGCTGCCTGCAATTACTGCGCGTTCAAATCTCACCAGGCTCAAGGTTGACTCAGCCTTCCATCCTTCTGAGGTAGGTAAAATGAGGACCCAGTTGTGGGGGCAATAAGCTGACTTTGTATAAAAAAAAAAGAACACCGCTTAGGGGGGGTCCGAAAGCCCTACTAAGCAGGTATATACAAAAGTATGAAGGCTATTGCTTAACGCATTGTAAGCCGCCCTGAGTCTCCAGAGAAGGCCGGCATATAAATCGAACCAAGGCAAGAGCCTTGGTAGTACAGTGGTCTAGAGCACCCTGTTATTAAGACCAGCTGCCTGCAATTACTGCAGGTTCGAATCTCGCCAAGGCTCAAGGTTGACTCAGCCTTCCATCCTTACTAAGGTAGGTAAATTGAGGACCCAGTTTGTGGGGGCAATAAGCTGACTTTGTATAAAATATACAAAAGTATGAAGGCTATTGCTTAGCGCATTGTAAGCCGCCCTGAGTCTCCGGAGAAGGGCGGCATATAAATCAAAATTAAAAATAAATAAACAAACAAACAAACAAACAAACAAATAAATAAATGGTCACAAGTGTGAAAAATGGTTGTAAATCACTTTTTTCAGTGCCGTTGTAACTTTGAACGGTCACTAAATGAACTGTTGTAAGCCGAGGACTACCTATAGACCGATAGTAATGTCCTGAATGAAAAAGGATCAACTGCTATAAGCTTTATGTTCTCTCCTGGGGTGGTGGATGTTGTGCTCTTGTGATCCATCAAGCAAAAGGCAGTCTTACTAGGCTGTGTGTGGTAATTCCACATGGGTTTAGTTAAGTCTATTCTTTGTGTTGCCTGCCCGGATTGCACAAACACCTGCTTGGCCACCATGCACGAGGGACGAGCTGCATTTGCTTTGTCAGTTGTGCAAACCTGTCTTAGGTAAACACTTGGGAGAGAGCAAGAATGAAGCAACAACAGTGACAATCTGAAAAGAAGCCTGGAAATTTACCAGTAACCTGCAGTGGTAAATAGAGGGGAGTAGGATTTTCCACCATCTGCAGATCGCTGAGTGGCAGATGGCCCTTGATCCTGTATTCTACAGAACTGACAACAGTTCTAAATCATAGATTACAGATGTGTATTTGTATCACCACACGGCTTCTCTAGCTTTCCTCCAGGAGCTTGAGGCAGTTGGCAAAGTTCTCCCTTAGCAACTTCGCCAGTTAAGTTCAACCGACACAATTACGGGAGGAAGAGACAACAAAAAAGCAAAATAAAACCGAACCTGGTTTCCCTTGTTACTAGCGTCTATGCTCCTTTGTGAATTCTAGCACATTCTTTTGCAAAAGGTGTCATTTATTGTCGCCACATGACAAGTCTTTTGGATTACTGCACAATCTGCATTTTATCGAAGCCAGATGGAACATGGGCCCAATGTCAAAAGCTTAAGTGAATGTCCTGGTTTGCTGCCCTTCCTTTTGAAAATTCATGAGCTACTTTTATTTTATTTTATTTTATTTTATTTTATTTTATTTTAATTTGATTTATAGGCTGCCCTTCTCCGGAGACTCAGGGCGGCTTACAATGTGCTCAGCAATAGCCTTCATCCTTTTATATATTTATACAAAGTCAGCTTATTGCCCCCACAACTGGGTCCTCAATTTACCTACCTTAGAAAGGATGGAAGGCTCGCCTTGAGCCTTGGCGAGATTCGAACCTGCAGTAATTGCAGGCAGCTGGTCTTAATAACCAGCTTAATAACAGGGTGCCTTAGACCACTGTGCTACGAAGGCTACTTTGACGTTACTATTGTCATGCCTTTTCTTTAACAATAGCCCCAAGACTTATATACTGCTTCAGTGCTTTATATCCCTCTCTACATATTTCCCCCAACAAGCTGGGTCCTCATTTTACCCACTTCGGAAGGATAGAAGGCTGAGTCAACCTTGAGCTGGTGAGAATCGAACTGCTGGCAGTTAGCAGAATTAGCCTACAATACTGCATTCTAACCACTGAGCCAACACAGCTCCTATCTTGGTTTTCCTATTTTAGCATTCTATCTTGGCACACGAAAAATTAAATTTCCTTATTTTGATATCCTTTAGATGAGTGGGAACTACACATTCTCCTCAACATTTTGGCAAACAATTGCCATATTGACTAAAAATATTTGGAGTTCTAAATCGCCTTACATTCTGCTCCGCAGTATCGATGGCTGCGGCAACAACTTGGCTTCTAGCATGGCATGGTAGGAAGATTCTTATTTGCCGAAATTATGAAAAACAGCAAAAGGTTTATGCTTGTTTCGAAGGAAAACTTCCTAGACATTTTGGCAAGAGGAACGAAATCAAAGCCAAATATAGAACGTTGGAAAAAAAAAAAAAGAGAGGTAGACAATAGCTAGAGCTATCCTGCAGAGATATTTTATATTAAAGTTATTATTACTTTAATTTTCTAAAATAGAACCTCCTTGGTTTGGTCTCTGGCCCAAATCTAAAGAATATAATAGGCGGAAACTCAGTTCTTAAATAGATAAACAAAAGAGCTGCCAAGCGTTGTCTCCGTGAGTGCCATTATTCTCTACAATTGCCAATGCAGCTGTGAGTTAAAGCCTTAAATCAATCATTTCTTAAGAACACTCCGCTTAGCTGTGCTAAGTTGTCCAACAGTAAATAATGAAGCATCTCTATTCAGTTAACCAAACAGCTGTGAATGGAAGTTTCCTTCCAACTACAAGAAAACTTCTGATCTCGGCTGTAGATTTTTAGGGAGCAAAAGACAACGAAAAAGCTTTCTGAGTCACACTGACGTTAACCCAACACTAGCACAATTTTAAAATATTTTATCCCGTTAAATCTTGCATGGTCTGGCAAGTATAACTCACCCTGAACATCCTAGCTGTAAATTCTCAATAGAAACCCACCTCTCCATTTCCATATTCAGGCTTTTAACAGGATTAACAGGTCAATACACAAATATCTAGAAGTTGCAATGTTTAAAGAACTTTTAACACCAAGAAGCATTACAACAGTCAGGATGAGTTACTCGTAACAAAAGAGTTGAGTATATAGGGATGCAGGCAAATACAAATTATCTATTACTTTATTTTCAGGCTTAAAGCTTAGAAATGTTTTAAGGCGCAGGTTGCAAGATGATCCAGAATGAAACTAGGAAATTAATTTTAAAAATATGTCCGTTACATATAAAAAAAGTTAATCAGCATAGAATAGAATTGTGACAGGACTGGAAGCTCAACGCACAGCTTCAGTCTCTGCCTTCCCAATTTTCCCCCCGTTCTTTTTGTATCTCCACAATAACTCTTAAACCAGCTTTTCCTCCTGCAGAAAATTCCCACTCCAGAAAGCTTCAAGGAAAAACTACCCTATAGCCACTTGAATGTAAATATATGACCTTCTCATTCTTATTTAAAGGGCATCAGCAGTTTTGTATGGTTAATTATTGGGAAAGAGAAGGACTTAAGCCTTTTATTGGCCTCTAATCCTTGTTTTACAGCTTCTGGGATTCCCGGTTCTGAATTCAATGCTTGCCTTAGAATAAGGGTAGATTTTTTTTTCCCAATGAGAAATCACAGTTATTTTTTAAAAAATGAACTGGCCACTCAAGAACCGTGATCAGAGGTAGAATTCAGCCGGTTCGGGCGAAACAGTAGCACCGACGATCAGTTGGCCCGCCCACCCACTCCCCGCTCTATCCTATCCTTTATTTCCTGCTTTGTAGCTCATCTCAATCGTGCAGCACAGCTGATTTTTCCCCCCCTCACTGTTCTGCTTACTGTTGCTGAGCTTCTAAATACGCCATTTTCAGTGCTGCGTGCAAGCGCCTTAGGCACGCATGCATGCAAAGCAGGGGTGAAATCTAAAATTTGTTACTACAGGTTCTGTGGGCGTGGCTTGGTGGGGAGGGTAATGTGACTGGGTGGGCGTGGCCATTTTTTTTTTTTACTTTTAAAACCATTTTTTCAACAACCTCTTTGGCGAAGAGGTTGTAACAAAATGCTTTCAAAAGGCTCTGATGATCCCAGCTGAGTTGCCTGATCGGCAGAGGCTTTTTTTCTTTTAAATGCCTCTGACGATCAGGCAACTCAGCTTGGATCGTCAGAGGCATTTAAAAGAAAAAAAGGGTTTTTTCTTTTAAAAGCCTCTGACGATCCCAGCTGAGCCGAGATCATCAGAGGCTTTTTTTTTTACTTTTAAAAGTATTTTTTTGGCCGAAGAGGTTGTAGAAAAAATACTTTTAAAAGTAAAAAAAAAAGCCTCTGATGATTGCACGGCTCAGCTGGGCATGGAGGGTGGGGGCAGGGATTTTTGCTACTGATTCTCCGAATCACTCACCTCCATTGCTACCGGATCGGGTTATCCGGTCTGAACTGGGAGCATTTCACCCGTGACACAAAGTGTGCACGTGAAGTGCACGCTCACTAAACCAGTTGTTAAACCAGCAGCTTCCCACCACTATGATGTAACTCAAATGGAGAAGAAGTGAAAATTCTCAAATTCTCAAATTCTCTGCATTTTTGGTGCACCACCTCTTTTTAATATTTAGAATAGGTAAGTACAGGTAGTTCTCCACTTACAACAGTTCATTTAGTGATTGTTCAAACTTACAACGCCACTGGGGAAAAAACCTATGATCATTTTTCACACTTACAATTGTTGCAGTATCCCCATCGTTGCGTGATCAAAATTCAGATCTTTGGCAACTGGTTCATATTTATGACTGTTACAGTGTCTTGGGGTGTGTGTGTCATGTGACCCTATCTGGTGACCTTGTGATAAGCAGTGTCAATGGGGAAGCTAGATTCACTTAACAACCGTGTTGCTAACTTTAACAACTAACTAACTTCAACAACTGCAGTGATTCATGTAACAACTGTGGTAAGGAAGGTTGTAAAATGGGACAAACTGCACTTAATGTCTCACCTAGCAACAGGGCCCACCGTGCCATCGCGTGCCAAAAGCGGGGGTCGTGCAGAGGGTCGCATGCGCATGGGTGGGGGTGGTGGGGTGCATTGAATTATGGATGTGGGCAAGCGTGCGTGTGACCCCCCCGCACTCCCCCCGCTTTTGGCACGCGACAGCAAAAAGGTTAGCCATCACTGTTCTATATGGAATAAGAGGTACCGCAAAACCAGTCACTGAAGATTCTGTATAAGCCAACCTCAACAGTAGTTGGACAGATCCTGTAGAACTGATTTCATGGTCTAATCTATCTAGTGTTGTTGTCATTTTGCTACTAACTTTTGGCAGCATAATTTTGGTAAGCTGTGGGGTTGTAAAAAGTCCTTACTTAGGACAAAAGAACAACATGAATTAAGATATTTTTTTATTTTTTTTTATTTAATTTCTATACCGCCCTACTCCCGAAGGACTCAGGGCAGTGCACAGCCAAACAATAAAACACATACATACAAAATTTAAAAGTAGAATTAAAATCAAATTAAATAGTTTTGGCCCAGACAAATTAAAACCCCAAACTATTTAAAACCAATTTTAAAATTTGAATATATAAAATACTAAAAAATATTAAAAAATTAAAAATCTTTTATAAAAGAGGGAGAAAATTAGGCCAGGCCCGCCTGGTGAAATAATAAGGTCTTTAGAGCGCGGCGGAAGGTGCGCAGATCCGGGATAGCACTGTATTGTTCCAATATAAGATAGCACTGTATTGTTCCAAAATAATTCCAAAATCTGATTACCTTATCAGCAGTACTGAAGTCTGTCATCTAACACAACGGGATGTTAATTTTGTCGAATACACAGAGATCGTAGATGGAAGTTAACACTGATACCATGACTTTCCAACCTGTCTACAATTATGATCTATTCTATGTAAAGTAGTAATGATGATACAATCATACCATTATTAGGATTATCATTATAGAACTATGAATTGCATTGTTACCTACCCTCATAAAGCTGAACATACTGGGGGAATCCTGCTGCTTGCAGCCAATCGCACGCTTCTTTCGCTTCAATCTCTGAAAAAGAAAAAAAATATTCCAAATTGGTAACTACGAAAGCAAACTTTATATATATATATATATATATATATCTTAAAACATTACATGTAGAAAATGTGCACATGTAACAATAGCTATAGCACTTAGATTTATATACCGCTCCAAAGTGCTTTAAACACTCTCTGAGAGATTTGCATTGTCAGCATATTGCCCCCCAACAATCTGGGTCTTCATTTTACCGACTTCAGAAGGATGAAAGGTTGAGTCAACCTTGAGACGGTCAGGATTGAACTCCTGGCTGTGGGCAGAGTTAGCTCCCAATACTTCATTCTAACCATCGTGCCACCAGGGTTCCTATACAGCATAATGGTTTGAACTGAAATACAACTCATTGTCCAAGTGTAATTATTTTAACCCTTCTGCTTTCACAGCTTTATAGAATGATGTAATTCTACTACTCGGTGACCAAGAAAAATTAAATCAAACTTTGCAACGTTCTTTATATTAAATATCTACAATCCAGTGAGGAGCAATTTATACACGTGGTGCTGGTACAGATGTGGTAAAGGAAGCTTCTCAAGCACAATCATCTCATTTTACAGGTTGTCCTTGATTTACAACCATTCGTTTAGTGACTGTTTGAAGTTACAACGGAGCTAAAAAAATGACTTGTGACCATTTTCACAGTTACGACTGTCGCAGCATTTCCATGGTCACATGATCAAAGTACGGAAGCTCGGCAACTGGCCTGTATTTATGATTGTTGCAGTGCTCCTGGGTCATGTAATCACCTTTTGTGAACTTTGGACAAAATAAATTGGGAAGTTGGATTCACTAAACAACTGTGTTAGTAACTTTACAACTGCAATGATTCATTTATCTGTGGCAAGAAAGGTCATAAAATGGGGGAAAACTCACTTAACAATTACCTTGCTTAGCAATGGAATATTTGGACTCCATTGTGGTTGCAAATTAAGGATTACCTGTAATTGTTATATATACTTTAATCTACCCACTAACAGGTCATGCTCTGAACAGAGTGAAAATCAGAACAAAGGCTATTAAAACACATAGGAAAAGTGCATAATGTATAAAGTACAAAAAACTCAACGGAACAGAGTAGTTACTCAAAACAATAAAACAGACTACAAAAAGCATCCAAAATGGAAGAAAAAAAAGCATCTGAGAAGCACCAAGAAGAAAGCAAGTAGTATCTGCCTTGGAACTGTATTTAAAAAAAAAAAAGGTGTTATAAACAAGAAGAAATCTTCCATGGAAATGCCTGAGACAAATTGCTTTCTTTTAAATGCAAAGCTCAACAAATGTCTCTCTGTGCTTTTCACAAGTAATGTCTTATAAATAAATTCCTTTTACTTAGTAAATGACGTTTCTTTGATACACAATAATCTACTTGCAAACTGAAATACTGCATCTAATAAAGGTATCACCCACTTTTTATAGCATGTAAATAACACTAATCGACTCTGATCCTTAGAACAACTAAGGCATTGTGTTACATTCAATCAAGAACCTGTTTACTCTTCGGGTTAACAGTAAAAAGAGAGTTATGCAGCACCACAACGTTTAAGAATTATTCCATCTACATCCAGCTTATTTGCTTCAACTGTGCTTTCCCTTGTTCAGAATACTGCTTGGTACAAGGGGCCAGGAGAAAGGGAACATGTAAAAACCTTTGATTTTCTTATCAAGTGTGCCAACATTGCTAAATTATTTGGGTACTGATCCCAGAAAACAGATTGAGGTTGGCAGGAAAACTAAAAAAAAAAATATGTATTACTTGAAGAGATTTAAAAGCTCTTTCTACAGCCTCACATTTCCAAGCTAAAATGAAAATGTACATTTATTTTCAACCTAAGGAACATATGCATTGACAGAAGAAGGCAATGACAAGTAGATTTTCTATTCTTATCATATGGACTTGTCTATGAAGTCATGAGAAGCTGAGCCAGGGGTGAAATCCAGCAGGTTCTGACAGGTTCTGGAGAACCGGTAGAGGAAATTTTGAGTAGTTCGGAGAACCAGTGGCAGAAATTTTGAGTAGTTCGGAGAACCGGTAGCAGAAATTTTGAGTAGTTCGGAGAACCAGTAGCAGAAATTTTGAGTAGTTCGGAGAACCAGTAGCAGAAATTTTGAGTAGTTTGGAGAACCGGGAAATACCACCTCTGGCTGGCCCCAGAATGGGGAAGGAATGGGGATTTTGCAGTATCCTTCCCCTGGAGTGGGGAGGGAATGGAGATTTTGCAACATCCTTCCCCTGCCACGCACACTAAGCCACATCACGCCCACAGAACCGGTAGTAAAAATATTTGGATTTTACCACTGAGCTGAGCTTAATTTGAAGATTAGATCTTCTAATTAGCCTTCAAAAAGCTGTGTGGCATGATATGAAGTTGATTATTGACGATATAGGTGTCCATCCTTAAGCATAACTTTGCCATCAGACTCAACCTAGGCTAAAAAAAAAAGACAATTTCAGGAATTCCAACCCTTAAGGATAATCCTGGATCCTTAGAAGGCTTCTGACTGCTTATTTGTTGTTCTAGTAGATCAACTTGTATAATTGCTCCATTCTTGCTCCTTTACTGCCTTTTCTTCATACTATTTGCATATCTGAGGACAAACTGGGCACCCGAGGCCAAAGAATTGAATCAAGATTTTTCATGTCCCAGAAAGAATTTGGTGACGGGATTAATCCAATGAGCAGTCAAGCAAACCAATGGGTAGTTAAAAGAATTCCTCAGCAGAATGTTACCATCCCATTCAAGGCTTTTCTTCTCCTTAATGACAGTTCAAAAAAAATTTTTTTTCCTGCCATCAAGATTTTAGCTGATCGAATAATTGTGGCCAACAGTCAATTTTTACTGTTTATTCAGCCTTGCCCATATCTAATCTTTTTTAAGGCTAGGATAGAAAACCTCAGAAAACAACCGTTTTGAAAGCTAGCTAGCTAGCTAGTTAGCTAGCTAGCTATTATTTATTTATTTATTTATTTATTTGTTTGTTTGTTTGTTTGTTTGTTATATTTCTATACCGCCTTTCTCCCGTAGGACTCAAGGCGGTGTACAGTCAAGAAAAATATAGATACACAAACATCATAAAATTGCTAATTAAAATTATTATTATAACATAGTTTGGCCCAACTAAATAGAACCTAAAATTAGATTACTTCAATCCAATGATGTGATTTCCCTCACGTTTTTTAAAAATTGCAATTACGCCGCATAAGGCAATTTCAGAAATCTTAGTCACAGCAGTGTTTTGTTGTTCTGTCATTCATTCATTCTCACCTGGACCTGATCGACATCATTTCTCCTATCAATATCTGCTTTTTTTGAGCTCTTACAAGGGTCTGATTGTGTCATCAGTGATAATATTTAGACACCAAGTCTTTGGTCATCTTCTTTTCCAATAGCCTTTTTTAATTTCCCAAACATCAGGGTCTTTGAGCAGGCTTGACTTGAGGTAATTTAATGAAGGCCTTATTAGTTTTCTTCACAACAGTACAAAAGTGGTTTGTCATTGCATTATTTGAGAATTGCTTTCCTACTTGCCAGGCTATCCTAAGGGTTCTTATTAGTCACCTATCCAGGTATAACTCAGGTATTATCTGACCTTTAGCTTTCTGAGATAAGACAGTCAGATGTTCCCACAAGACAAGGAGGTTGGCTATTCTTGGCTTAGAACTTACACATCAGGCGAGCTGCAGTATTAGGTTTCATTCATTCTGTTACATTTTATGCTAGCTATATATATTTGTGTGTGTAATATCTCTCTCATACACATACTTTGCAATCATTCTATTTCAGAATATTGGAGAATCAACTCAGCAAAGCACCTTGCTCTCTTCCACTTGAGCGGTACATAGACATCAAACTTAGTAGAACCTGCTAAATTTCATGCTACTATCTTGAGGTGCACCAATTTAACAATGTATAGGACCGTGATGTTGAACCTGTGGCACGCGGAGCCATCTCTGCAGGCACGCGAGCCGTTGCCCTAGGTCACCCCCCACTGCGCATGAGTGTGCCGGCCAGCTGATTTTTTGGCTGACCCCGCCCATGCTGCCCCTCCTCTCCACGGAGTCTCCACATGGCCCATTTTAGATGCCAGGTAAGTACAGGGCTCGCGTGGAGGCTCTGGGAGGGTGAAAAACGGGCCTTCAGGAAGTCTGGAAATGGGCCATTTCCAGCCTCCGGAGGGCTGGGGGAGGCTGTTTTCACCCTCCCCAGGCTCCATGAAAGCTTCCGGAGCCTGGAGAGGGTGAAAAACAGGCCTACCAGAAGTCTGGAAACAGGCTGTTTCCGGCCTCCAGAAGCTTCAGGGCGGCATGTTAGGCCCAAAATGGGGGGTGGGGGGAGATGTGCGCGCATGCACGGAGGGGGTGTCGTACGTGCATGCACAGGGGTTGGGGCAGTGCGGGAGGCCAGGACATGTGGGGGGCATTGTATTATGGATATGGGCACGCACGCACGCGACCCCCCCCGCGCTCCTTCCACTTTTGGCATGTGACGGCAAAAAGGTTTGCCATCACTGATATAGGAGCTCTGCAGACATATGCTAAGCATTAAGGAACAAGGTATTTATGAATGTAGGGAAACACTCAACAGGAAAGATCTATCATGCATCAAATCCCTAATTCATTTCATTCAATGGTTTCTCTGCAAGCATTCCCCTTCCCCCCCTTTTTACTTATTCAACTTATTTGATGGGGAGAACGTTTTTACTGTTTTAGCCAAGAGGAAACCATAAATACACTGATTCATTGCAAATTAACAAGGAATCTGTCACTCAACCCCCAAAGTCCTTTATAAACATTGTAGTAGAGAGTGAAGGAGAGAAAGACACTCCAATTTTACAAAGGCGTGTATTTGGAACCAAGCTTGACTTGAACAGGCTAATTAAATGCATCTAATGCATGGTTTAACTGTCATATAAAATTCAATTATTCACACATTAAGAACCATATAGAACAGGGGGTGGGCTGGCTCAGAAATCCT